CACCTGTTCTTCCCATCGCCAGTGATGAAGCTCAATCACAACCGGCCCAGCCGGAACAACAAGAATCGGCAGGAGGAGAACCATCACAGCATTTTTCGAGAAAGAGTTCTGTGACGGAACCAGACAAGGACATGATGGAAGCTCTACTCACAAAGTGCGGAGCACAGCCGATCTACGATTTCTACAACGAGTGGAAGACAAACGAGGAGGAACTATCAACTACCATGATCTCAGAGCTGATTGGCGAGCTCAAGAACCTGGACATTGGTGTACCATCAGAACAGGAAGTTCTTCTAGACCTCTACACTGGAAATGTGTACAAGGCCGGAGACGACAGCATGATGCTCACGGAAGAAGATCTTCGACGCTATCCTCATCTCGTAGACGAAGCAGACCATCGAGAATTGAAAGCTTCTTGCAACCACAAAGTATTCGTACCACGCCTACGAAAGGATCTTCCAGAAGGAGCTAATGTTGTTGATTGCGTTTGGGTTCGCAAGTGGTCTATCAAGTACAAGAAGGTAAAGTCACGGGTGTGCGCCAGAGGATGCTTCGACAAGCAAAAGCAGGTGCTCGAGAAACACTCAAGCACGGCGACGCGACTTTCACAGAGATTGGTGATTTCCATGGGACTCTGCAACGGAATCCTGTGGAGCGACACGGACGACCCCTACGACATCGGGACGGAGAGTTTGGATATCTCTACCGCATTTCTTCAAGGATTGGATTACAGTGAGTTGAGTGCCAATGCGCGGACACTTGGATATGAATATCGCCACAAAAAAGAATGCTTCATCATACCACCGGAAAACGTATGGCGACATTTCCGCAAGATGAAGACGGCCGCAGAACGAGGTCATTATGTTTTACTATGTCTACGAGCAATGTACGGTTTCACAGACGCGCCCCTCATGTTCCAGCTCGCGCTTATTTTTTATCTCAAGACGGAAACGAATGCGATCAGCTCGGTTTTCGATGACAATTTCCTTTACTGGTTTGTTACTATTGACGGAGTCAAACACTTAGCACTTATTATGACGGCTCACGTGGATGATTTACAAATTACAGGTTGTAAATCAATGAGGAAATGGATCAAGGATGCATTAACTAAGCGTTTTGGTGAAATGAAGCTACAACAGATACCTTACACGCATGCAGGTATCCAGATTGAACGACTTAACCGAGATTGTCTTCGACTTCATCAAGATGACTATTGCAGCAAATTGACGACCTACAAGATACCTGAACATCGACTCAAAGAACCGGACAGCCTTTGCGATAAGGCAGAGATTACTATTTTCAGATCATTGTGTTGTTCAGCATTATGGGCTTGCCAGACACGCTTGGAGGAATTATGTGCAGTTACCAGTTTGCAGGTATATCTACAGACGCCGAAGATTGAACACAATATCTCCATCAATTGTGTTTTCAAGAGATTGAAGCGACCAGTTCGACATGGCATTTATTTGTGGAGATTGCAGCCACCACTACGTATTGCCAGTGTCAGTGATGCCTCGGCTCCCAACAAACAGAGCAACTTCGCGACCGAGGGTATCATAGTTGGCTTGGCAGAAGATCGAATCACGAAGGTGAAGACGGACAAGGAGGATTCCTGGACCAAGAGTTGGTAAAGCCACTTGGAGGCAAGATGCATGTTCTGACGGGGAGTTCTCAGAAGGCCAAGAGGATTTCGCACAGCACATCACATGCAGAAGCCTTATCAGCGGCCAAGGCGATTCCATTGGCACAATTGGTTGCATTGCGATTGTGTGAACCAGAGGTTACGACGAGAAAGAATGTTTCAAGACAGTGTTCTACTCCATTGGCTCTACTTGATGTTCAAGAGTCTGCGACGGTACCTTTGCCAGTGGATTCGTTTATCGACTGTATGGACCTCTGGGAACTGTCATGCGGCCTGAAAGGCATTCCTCAAGACAAAAGCCAGAGACTTGGAGTATTGTCTATACGAGAAGAACGCAGATGTCTACGATTGCGACGGCTCTTTCATATAAGGACAAAATGGATGTATGCAGACCAGCTTACCAAGGTTGCTGGCCAAGACAGCAAGGAGTTATATCGCCTGATCTCGAGTGGACACTACATGATCACAGACAAGGTTCGAGTGCGACAAGGGTTCGGAGCCAATACACAGAACATGACGGTCTTTTGACGCACCAGATTTGCTACTGATTTGGCTCGAAATCAGATTAGGGTGTTGGATATTCCCTTTCAGGAGGTATTACGGTCATCTATATTTGGAGGATATCAACACAAAATTTTACACCACGACGGAGAATGTGTAGATGGATTTTCGGTATCACAATTCGATATTCATGCGATGTGAAGAACATTCAGGCTTCACGCACGCGAATGCACGCGTATGTAACTTTTAAGCACGCCTGTCAAATTCAGGATATCGACTCTTAGGATCAGTTTTGGATTGATTAAACTTTTAATGCTCTCGAAACCAAGAGAGTATGACGAGAGTTAGAATTCTGATGTATGATAGGTTTCGAGCAGGACCCTGTAAAGAGCCTCTTGGGAGCCCCTGGACTAACGTCCCAAAGTAAGGCTTCCGGGCTAAGCTCTTGCTTGCCTGCCTGCTGCTTTGCTACGTACTGTAGCCGTTTGGCTTAGTGAAGAAAATATTTCATCCGATATCTTAAAGAAATTCACTCTCAATTATCAAGATAATTGATTCTCATCAATTCTTATTGGATACGATTCTCATCGATATCCCGAGTGGCCGAGGCCCCTCCCCCCCAGAGGGGGCCCCGTCCCTCACCCGGGGCTCCTCACGGCAGAACTCTGGCGGCACCCACCCCGCCCATGCCCATTCTTGCCTCCTCGCTCCTGCGCCACTTCTGCTCCCCATCCCCTCTCTGGTCCCGCCACCCATCTGCAGTCTTCCTCCTCCTCGTCCTCCTCCTCGTCCTCCTCCTCGTCCTCCTCCGCCTCATCCTTCCTACCTGCCTGCTCCCTCGTCGTCCTTCCTTCTTCCTCCTCCATCCATGCATCCCTCTCATTCCACCACATCCGTCTTCCCTCCTCCCACGTCCCTCCGCCCTCCCGCATCCCGCTTACTCTCAGTCCCCCTCCTTGTCTGGTAACGGTGCTTAATACTGGGACGGCACCCCAACTGTCCAGTAGCGATGGGCCAGAGCGTTAGAGTCCGCTCCCCCAAATGGCTGAATCGAGGCACTTGGAGAAAGCTCTGTAGAACAACCCTGATACCCCCGAGATATCCTCAAACAGACCTCGAGACACCTCCTTGAAGAGTGGGGAACGGGAAGGAGAAGGAGGAAGGAGGAAGGGAAACGGAGGAGGAGAGCGAGGCTGACGACAAGGATGGGCGTTCAAGACGCACGCCAGTCCAGACAGAGCCTGAACTGGGACGGGTCTTAAACTCAACCACCTCCCTGCTGCGTTACTGCGCTGGCACGGCAATAGGGTTCGCCGCAAGAAGCTGCATCTGCTCTCACTGCTCGCCGAAGCATTTACTATCATGTAAATCAGCAATCGAGTTCAAACTGAGTTTGGTCCAACAGGTGGGCAACAAAACATGTGGCGGGCCATCAGACCCTCAATTGGCGACATCCGTAGGGGTGGCTGGTAGCTCCCTCTTCCTGCCCTGGGCATCGATGAAATTCTCCCCGCAAGGAGTCATCACCATCACTCGGAAACCGAAGTCGATCATAGCTGGGCTGAAGCGTAGATCCGCCATGGACTTCTCGCGGCAAGCACTCTCGCACACAATCTCCCTTGTTTTCATGTGCAAGAAGTTGCGATACAGTCGAGGCGTTGACCTAAGGAACCCTAAATAAGGAACGAGGCCCCTTTTTCCCATAAGCTCAACCTCGATTTCCGATGGAAAACCCAGGAAAACCCGAGGCAAACTTTGAAACAATCAAGGAACACCGAGTCCCTCCCCAACAAAAAGGGTTCCTTCTTCAGCGCCCCGACTGTACTCCCCGTGTCCTCCATGGGACAGTGAACTCACCTGGGCCGCGCTCTGGCCGACACTGGAAGCAAATCATCGCGGCCGTTGTCCCACTCATCATCCGACCTCCCCACCTCCGAAACCCACATCAGACCGAAACACAGGGCCAACGTGACAGATCGCATCTGGGCGCGCAGGGACGGAAACACGAAGAATGGAGGCGACCGATGACAAAAGGACTCTCGCGGGCAAGAGACAGGAGAAGGGGTGGGGGAGACCAGAAAGACGCAAGTGAAGAACAACAGTGAGGAGGGGACGAGGTGAAGGTGGAGGAGGGGAAGGATGAGGGGGAGCGGGGAGGGAGAGGGATGAGCACACTAACGCGAGGCTCTTGCGCGTGCAACCGCTCCCTGCTCATGTCCTGAGCATCGAGAGGGAGGCACGCGCCAGAGGCTGGTTCCATTGACGACGCGCCGGCGACGCCTCCGCCTGCTCCGCCCCCTCTTCCTTCTGCTCCCCCTCACTCATCCTCGTTCGTGTCCTCTCTTGCTTCCTGCGCACCCTCCGCCTCCTCCTCCTCCTCCTCCTCCTCCTCCTCCTCCTCTCTTGCTTCCTCCTGCTCCGCCCCCCCCCCCCCCCATCCTGCTCCTCACTCCCGATACCCTCGCATCCGCCTCCTCCTCTAGCCTCCTGCTCCTGCTGGCGCTCCTCCCGCTGGCCCTCTTGCCCATGGCGGGCTGGCGCCCAATTCCCGCTGCCCCGACCTCCAACTTGACCAGGACGGAAGCCTGGGCTGTCCTTCTACCGTGACTTGCCGTCGCTGAGACGTCCATTTCCCGTGCATTTTTCGGTTTCGTGCGTATTTTTTTTGTTCGATGGTCCAGGATGGTCCTCGATGGTCCTCGCCAAAAAAAAATCACACTTCCGAGCGATGCCAGGGTGACGCTCCGGCCGCCGTGGCTCCGGCAACGAGCGCTCGAGCGGCGCCGCTTCCCTCCGTGCCCCCTCTCGCCGAGCTGCTGGGGCGCTGCAGAGAGGCGGCCCCTCCCCCGACGTGGTCCTCCGTGTCCCCGATGAGCGTGTGAAGCGGGGAGCTGCAGAGGGAGTTTGCCTGGAAAAGTGGGATGACGAACGAACAACACGCACCCATACCCACAGGGGGGTTCGTGGGGAGGAGGACTGGCTATGGGTATGGGTGCGGGTTGTCGGACCCTGGGGAACGCTCCCGATCGAGCGGGGCCCCCCATCCGACAACACGCACCCATAGCCCTCTCCGACCCCCTTATGGGAATGGGTGTGTGTTGTTGGTTCGTCATGGGAGGGGTGCAGCGGAGGAGGAGGCGGCAGGAGCAAAACGAAGGCGAGGTGGGACGGAAACTGAAGGGGGAGGAAGAGGAAACAGAGTTGAGCGGAGGGAGCGGAGGAATACCAGGAGTCGCAGGAGGAGGACGAGGAGGAGGACGAGGACGAGGACACCGACGAGAAAACCTCGGATGCGGGGAAGAGCGAAAAAAAACAGGAAGAGGAAGAGGAGGAGGAGGAGGCTGAAAACGGACCGTTCCCCATGAGGACTTGATACCGCGGCCTGTCTGTGCGGCCTGATTCGAGCCCCGCCCTCCTCCCCGGGAGCAGCCCGTCGCGAGACGAAGCTCCGAGCGGGCATCACGCAGCAAGGCGGGGAGGCAAGGCACCGGCCTCCCAGGGCTGTTCTGGACGGCTCGCACTGGGGGGCTCACGAGCGGCGAGCATATCTGTACCGCGCCCTCGCAGTCTGGATTCCAAAAGCGCGATCACGCGGATGCGCGGTCGCACGGACACGTTCCGCGCGGGGCATCCTCGAACAAAACTTCCCGTATCCCGGCCCGCGATGCCGCGGATACGGATACGTTTTCCGCCCACGAAGGACGGAGGAGGTGCACAGTGATCGCTCGAGCAAATTGCAACACCAGAGGAATAGAAAGAAGCAAACACGTAAACTTTAGGAGGTCCGCGCGCCCGCGGAAGCTGTGGATCGGGGCCATGACCCCCCTCCAGGGCGCGCGGACCAACGACGCAGCGAGGCCAGAATCAAGCCACGGCATGAAAAATAAACTTGCGGAGTTCCGCGCGGATTTCTCGGATAGGATTGGGACCCCCCCCACACTGGCGCGCAGATCGTGCCACGCCGCCATTTGAATCCAGCGCAATTCCAAGACATCTGCGCGGACCTCCAACACGTACTGTGCACGCGAATGTTGTTTTATTGCCGAACCAACGAATCGAGTCTGCCAAGGCCAATAATTCGGACTGGAGCACCAGGCTCGCGGTGGCAACTCCGAGAACTCTGCGAGAAAGCAGGATCAAGTGTTTCGAACGCGCGCGCGGGACATCCCAAGGCATGCGCCCTGTCCGTGTGCTAGCTCAAACGCGCTGTAACTAAGGCCTCCAACCAGCGATTTTGGCTCAAGCAATTTGGGCCCATGCATGACGAACGGGGCTAAGAACTCCCGAAACGCGTCGCGTACACTAGATACTCTGCTCCGTAGCTACAGTCTGAGGGATGGAGACTTTTGCTCGCAATGAGCTGTCCACTCCTCTTATCGCGCAATCATCCCACCAACCCACCCGCAAATTGGTTTGCAAAACCCATGCGGCGGCGATTGTGATGAGTGTTTGGAGTTGGCTGGTGTATGTCTGCGACCGCGCTACCCCGTGCATGCTCGCGCGCGCAGCGGCCAGCTAGTTTGGCGCGGCCGACAATGCCGTGGTGGCGCTGACCGCTGGGCACAGCCCAGGGGAGATTTCACTGCAAAGTCGGCGACTTGGGCGGATGCGGTATCATGGCAATGTTGGTAAAGAGAATGACAACGACGACGGCAAGGCCAGTTACGGCGGCGCCGATGCTGATCACGCCGAAGACGATGACAGCGTCCTCGCGTCGGTGATGCAGGTTGTCGAAGGGAGTTCGACATGCACGCAAGGCCGACGCGCGGGAGCGCCCTGCATTTTGTTATGTGACACGAGTCGTGCCACCCCGCCAGCACGCGCGCACGGGCGTTCGAATGATTTCGATGTGCGGCCGAATGCAATGGAACTGTTGAACAACCTGTGATGTTCTCAAGAACTCGCAGGAGCGCGAGCGGAGGCACCGCAAAAACATGTCGTGCAAACCACAGAGAGAACGCGTTTCACGGGCGCTTGCCTTGGGATCATTCGGCGGCGCGTTTCAAACCGGGGGGTGCCCCCCCCAACACTCGGCGCCGTCGAGCAAAACCGGGGAGACTCCCCTCCCCCCCAAACCTCCCCCCCTCCCGAACCCCACCCCCGCATCCCAAGGGAGGGGGGGGTTCAACCCCCCCCCGCCCCGGCGCCGGCGCCGGCGTTGGTGGCCGCCAGCAGCGTCGACGGCGGGGACGCAGCGACGATGACCAGAGGCAGCCCACGAGGGGGGGGTTCAACCCCCCCCCCTGCCCCCCTGGCGCCGGCGCTGGCGGCGGCCAGCAGCGCCGGCGCTGGGTCTGGCGACGGCGGAGACGCAGCGACGACTTCCACCACTACCACCACCGCCACCACTACCACCACCATCACCTCAACCCACCACCACCACCACCAACCCACCACACAACCATCACCACCACCACCACCACAGCCACCACCACCACCACCACAACCACCACCACAACTCACCATCACCACCACCAACACCACCACAATCCACCACACCACCACCACCACCGCCACAACCACCACCACTCCCAGCAGCAGAATCCACCGCCACCACCACCACAAACAACCACACCACCACCACCACCGCCACCACCACCACCAGCACCACCTCCACAAACCACCGCCACCACCACAACCCACCACCACCACCACCACCACCACCACCACCACAACCCACCACCACACTGCCACCAAACCACCACCACCTCCGCAACCCACCACCACCACCACAAACCACCACCACACCACCACCAAACCACCACCACCACCACCACCACCACCACCACAACAAACCACCACCACCACCACAAAAAACCACCACACCACCACCACCACAACCACCACAACCGCCACCACCACCACCACAACCCACCACCACCACCACCACCACCGTCGTCCTCGTCGACGCTCCCCGCCGCCGCCGCCCGCCGCCGCAGGCGCAGGCGCCGGCCCAGAAAAGGGAATCGTCGTCCCCGCCGCCGCCGCCAACCGCCGCCGATGCAAGCGCCGGCCCGAGGAGAGGTGAAGCAGGGGAGGAAGGGAGGGGGGGGGTTCGAACCACCCCCCCTCTATCCAGGAGGGGGGTCCGGTTTCAAACCCCCCCGCCCTCCAAGCGACCACAGAACGCGCTCTTTCAAACCACAAGAGGTCCTTATACAATTCTGCGGTGGGCCTAAGAAGGCAAACGAGGACGCCGCGCCACTGTCTGCCAACACGATACGCCGCGACACAGCCTTCTGTACCGCATCGACGCGTGCCTCGCTCGGCGAGGTCGGGGAGCGCGAGCACGGCTGGGAGGGACGGTCCGCAGCGAACGCTCGAGGCGACACTTCGGCGGCGTGAGCCCAGGGTGAAAGTCCGAGGGTGCGGGGCTTCTTGGAGAGCTGGAATGGTAAAGGGAAACAATTCGTGAACACCCTCCTTGCCCCCCAAACTCAAATTGGCACGCGCGAGGGAGACTGCGATCGAGGTGCAACTGATCAGACCCACCGCCAACTTTGAACATTGGGGGGAGGAGGCGTTCACAGATGAATGTGGCATGAGTGTTCGCTATTTTTCCGAGGCCTGAAGGGAGCCGGGCCTTCTGGGAAGTTGTCTGAGCCTTCCCCGAATACACAAGGAAACTTCTCAGAAGGTACGAGGGCTTCTGATAGCCCCGCCGCTGTCTGAGAAGGCCTGTCCTGCATCACTCCCCCCCAGGCGCGCCGCCGACAAATAGACGCGACCGTCGACAAGCTTGTCCGTGAACTGTCTGAAACACTTTTTAAAAGCAGAAAGAGAAAGAAAGAGCCGGGGGAGGGGAGGGAACAAGTGGGGGGAGAGCGGGAGGAGGGGAGGGAACAAGCAGGGGGATGGGAGAGAGAGAGAGAGAGGGAGAGAGAGCAGGGGGAGAGAGAGAGAGAGAGAGAGAGAGAGAGAGAGAGAGAGAGCAGACAGGGGGGGCAGAGAGAGAGAGAGACAGAAAGAGAGCAAGCGGCAACAGCAGCAACAGCACTCCTGACCGAGCCGCCGCCGGCACCAGCCTCCGCGCTCCCGGCCTCACGGGGAGCGTGGCCTTTCCTAGAACACGTCGAGCGACGCGGCGAGGCCGGAATGATGCCACCGAGCTCGAGGAACAAAAAACTGCAGAAACATATAGCCTCCGGAGCTGCGCGCGGATCGCTCGGATCGGCGTGGGGCCCCCCTCCCTGGAGCGCGCCGGGAGCGGCGCCGGGGGCGTCGCCAGGGGGCTCTGGCGCCGATCCGAGCAATCCGCGCGAACCGTTCAAAGTTTGAGTTTATGCCCGTTGTCCCCTCTTCGACGTCCAGCGAAGGAGCGAGTTGGAGGCCTGGAAATAGACACCAACACCAACACAGGGAGTTTGCCTCCACAGGGGGAAGATGATCCTAGATTTCGGTGTTGGTGGTAGTATTTCGGTCACCTTTGAAGCCAGAGTATTACCACCATCACCGAGATTGGGATCTTCATCCCTCGGTGGAGGCACACCGCCGATCTTGGTGTTGGTGTCGACCTCAAGGCCTGCGAGAAGCAGCGAGGCCAAAACGAACCCGCGGAGCCCCTCGTCGCACGTGCAGCCGGAGCGGCGCCGTAGCGCGAGAGAGCTCGCAGAGCCGCCGCGCTCAGGGCCGCCGCGCCACGAGAGCTCCCTCCGCCGCGGCGCGGCAACTGCTAGCTTTAAGTCGGGCCTGTCCCCCTACAGGGGGATGTTCGACGAAAAATGAGAAATACCCCCAAATACCCCAAGAAGGTCAAAAAATACTCAAAAACAAATCCCCAGACTATTTCTGCATTATCGTTTGACTATTTTGGGGGTATCTTTATTTTTCTGGCGCCTCCCAGCGCTGGAGATGCCTCTGGCGCCTCCCAGCGCTGGAGATGCCAGCGCATCGAGGAAGGATCCCCACGGGGGAGACGAAACCATCTACAAGCAGCAGACTCCGCAACCCACCGTTTCACCAAATCCCCATTCGTCCGACCTGAGAGGAGGGCGTGGCGACTTTGCACACTGGCCTGCGTAAGAATTTCGCGTTTGCAAAGTGCCCGCATGAAGAGTGAGCGAACTACGGTCATGATATTGCAGACGTGCGTGTCGTTCCTGGATCCTCTGGCATTCGCGCGCCCTCGTGCTTCGCTCGGGCCAGCATCCAGACAGCGCAGATCTCTCGAGCGAAAGGCGCCTCCGAACGCGCCGCCAGCTCGAGGTCCAGATGGAGGGATGGGGAGGAGTCGGGGGGGGAAGCCAGAGCATCAGCCCACCAACCCTTACGGCCGAGAGTGGTCTAACGAGCTCGTTCTGATAGCTCCCTTCTCCCCGTTCGGGGAGGGGGTTCCCCCCTCCCCTCTCCCCTCCCCCTGGGTCTGGAACCCTTGTTGGCCCCAGATGTTCCCAGCTGGGCCCCAGAAAGCCAAATATTGCCTCCAAGATCGCTCAAGATCTCCCAATATGGGATGCCGGGAGGGAGCTGGAGCATGATAAGGGGAGGGGCCCCAGGAAAGATGGTAATGATGTTGATGATGGTATTAATGATGGTGGTGATGATCATGCTGTTGATGATGCTGGAGGGATGAAGATAGAAGGGGATATATTAACCCCTATTCTTGGCTGCGTGGGGGGTTCGAATGGACTAGAAGTTTGGTGCCCAACTCGGGGTTATAGGACACGGGGGGCGGTCATCCTCGATAGGGGTGCGTCCGATTCGCCCCCCCCCTGGGGTGTCTCCCCGAGTTTGTCCCTCCTTCCCTCAGCGGCCCGACTTCTCGTGGAGCCGTCGGGGGGTGGGGGCGAGAGATCGAGGAGAGGGGTCCAGGGGGGGGGGGGGGAGGGCCGCAGCATCACAAGGGGAGGGGCCCGAGGAGAGCAGCCGCCACGAGCGGGCACCGTGCGCACCCCCTGCGGGGGTTGCCGAGGCGCCCTCCCCTCCCCGGGTGCGGACACCAGCACGGGCACTCGCGCTCCACACGCCCGCCCCTGTTGGGCGTGGCTTCATGGGGGGGTCATAAATGGGGGGGTCAGAAACAGTCCCCTTTCGTGCCCCTTTCGAGCCTCTCCGGAGCCCCAGGGGGCTCGTTTAGGTACCGTTTGGGTACCTTTTCGGACCACCCTCGCCGCCCCCCCATTTATGACCCCCCCATTACGCAGCGCCCAACCCTGGCGAGGTCGCAGGCGCCCGGGAGGGTGGAAGCGGTGCCCGGTCGGTCCTGCAGGGCGGGTTCGTGCGGCGTCGGCGCGCGTGAAAGGGTCTTGCCACCGCGTCGACGGGTTGGACCTCGAATCGATCGCGGCCCCGATCGCTCAAGGTTGAGTTCGGTCGGGTCCAGCGGTGTTGCCGTGTCCATCGGTGCTTCCGCGTCGCAGGATTCAGCCTTGAACGCCTTCGCTGGCGTCGCCGGCGCGCGAAAGCCGCATGAAACGATCGTAAGAGAGGAGGCGGAGCGCGCCTGAAGAGGTCCGAAGCCAATCGTGAGAAAGGTATGCTGCCTGCGCTGCTGCTGTCGCTCTCGAAGCCACGTGCAGCGGAGCCGGGCGCAACGAGAGTGCCGCCTGGAGGGGCAGGCGGGGGGGATGGCAGCGCCCTGTCGGCGAGGAGTAGGGGGCCCAGAAAGGACGTACGCGCCCAGCCATGTACATGAACACGGCCCCTCGATCAGCGAGACCAGCCGCGTGACACGGACATTCGCGCAAGACGTACTCTCGAAACCGATGTGGATTCATGTGCGTGCACGTCCTTCCTTCGCTCCTGAGGGAGGAGCAGCAGCGCAGGAGGCAGCGGGGGGCGGCGCTGCCGACGACGGCGGGGCGTAGAGCCCGGAGCCGCCGACGCCGTGGAGCAGGTCGCCGTCGGGCGGCGGCGGGGGCTCCACGGTCCACGCGGGCCCTCGGCGAGGGGGGCCCTCCGCGCGGGCCGCGCTCCTCGCCCCTCTCTCCCGCCGCTCGTCCGCTGCCTGTCCTCCCACGCCCCCCGTCGCTCCGCCACCCCCCCCCCGTCGCTCCGCCCCCCCCCGTCGCTCCGCCCCCCCCCCGTCGCTCCTCTCCTCTCCTCCTCGTCCCTCCTCCTCCTCCTCTCCTCCTCCTCGCCCCCCCCCCCCCGTCGCTCCGCCCCCCCCTTGCCTCGGGGATGAGCACCGATCGCCCTCCTCCGGCAGGCACGACGGCCGAAGAGGGAGGGGGCGAGGGAGGAGGGCGGGGGGACGAGGGCGCCGCCGAGGACCCCCCCACGCACGCACTGCACTTGCTGCAATCCTTCCGTCATCGCTTCGCGTGTGGCCGTCACGGATAGCGGCAGCCCCGAGAGACGACCCCCCTCTATGGTGGCCAGAATCTGCCACGCCTGCCAAGCCCTGGACGACCGTCGTGGAGAGCGGCCGCCCTCAGAGACCACCCCCTGCGCGCCCCTTCGACGCCGAGAGCCTGCAACGCCTGCTATGCCCTGAACGGCCGTCACGGATAGCGGCCGCGCTCAAAGACCACCCCGTGCACACCCACTAAGGTGTCGAGAGTATGCCGCGCGTGCTATGCCCTGGACGACGCGCCAGGTGCCATCCCTCTCCTGCCTGCATGCAGTGTATATGTGTGTAGGTGTCTGCGTGTGTGCGTGTGTGTGCGTGTGCGTGTGTGTGTGTGTGTGTGTGTGTGTGTGTGTGTGTGTGTGCGCGCGAATGTTTGTGTGTGTGTGTGTCTGTGTGTCTGTGTGTGTGTGGGGCGTCACATGGTGTGCGGCTGTACATGTGTGTATGTAATTACGTTGTGATGGTTATGACGTGTGCAGCTGTATGACATCGAGCGAGGAAGAGAAGGGTGAGATGTGTGAGAGAGAAGGAGACGCGGGTGCGACGCGGGTGGGAAACAAAAACACAAGCCCCACGAATCGCATGAGGAATCAGAACACAGGAGTGGCACGGGGAGCTGGCAGAACGGCACCCTTCGGACGGGCCCCCCCTCGCATAGACCCCTCGGGCCAACCTTCGCACATACCTACTTCCTCGAGCCTACTTCTCTCGCTCTCCCGCTCCAAATCCCTCTCTCTCTCTGTCTCTGTCTCTCCCTCCTTCTCTCTCTCTCTCTCTCCCTCTCTCTCTTCGCGCTCCTCTCATCCCTCCCTTCCAGTCTGCTCCCCCCTCCCTCACCATCCTCTGGCTTGTTGCTCGCTGCTGGCTCTGCTCTTCATATTCTCCTTTCCTTCCTTGGACAAGGCGCTTGCGATCGCGCTCTTCCCCCCCCCTCCTCCTCCTCTTCCTCCTTATGCTCCTGCTCCTGCTGCTCCGCCTTCTCCCCTCCTCACCCTCCTACTCCCCGCCTCTCCGCCTCCGAGCACACGGCACGCCTGTTCAATCCACTCTACAAGGCCTGCGATGTGCTGAGCCGTTCCATTTTTTGTCACGTTCCCCAGCGCCCCCACAACATGTCACCGACACGGCAGAGTATGGCCTGGCGGCGCAGAAGCACTCTCGTTGCTGTGCTGCCTCTCGTGGCCGGGCTGCCTCTCCTGGTACAAAGGGGGCGGGAGTCAGGGGGGTCAGCAAAAGGCGTGCACGTGGGCCTGAGAAGCAGACGGGGGATGGTTGGGACGATGTGGAAACGCACTTGCCCCAACCACGCACCCTAACGACAGCAAAGGTGAAGATCGGGAGCGGCCAAGAGGGGGGTGTCCAAGAGGGGGGGGTGCAAATCATGACCAGCGGCATGTGCGCGACCCAGCGGGGGGGCCAGGGACGTAATGAAATACTAAGAGGCGCCATGAAATCTGGGGAAATATCATGGCCCACGCCATGATATCCACCCCCCCTAGTCATCACCCCCCTCTTTTCCGCCCCCGAGAAGAGGTGGATCGAGGAGTAGCAGGTCGAGAAGCGGCCATGCGGATTGCAGCTTCTTGCGAGAGACCGTGGCCGTTCGGACCGATAGTGCGGCCCGCATATCGAGGCGAGCGCACGCCTCCGGAACAGACTGCGAGGTCTCCGGCGAAACGGCCGCTGGGCCAGGCGATCTGGGGGAGCGGTCTCGGGCTCCGTGTCCCCCCTGTGGTACGCTTTTCTGTTGCCCCTTCCTATCACTACGCAAATCCTCCCTGGCGAAACGCCAGCGCCCTCAGGGAAGGACTGCGAGGATGAGAGCACGCAGCTTACAAGAGCTCGAGTGAAACAGTGTTTTCCATGTTCGTCTTTTTTTCGTCATCCCTAGTTCTGTCTTCGTTCCACATTTGCTGCGAAACGCAGCCAAAACGAAAACGGTCAACGAAATTGCCAAAACATCGTTTAGCTCGAGCCCTGCAGCTTACACAACCCTCGCAAACGTTGACATCTGGCTGCCCTGGTCGCTCAAGGCACGGCACGCGCACGGAAGACCGCAGCCGCTCCTGGCCAAGGGGAGGACCGGGAAGTCGAGATGCGGCTCCAAGGCAACAACGTCGGGCGTGCCGGGCGTGCCTTGCGGATGCCACGACAATGGACACCCTAAGAGTCCTGTCGTTGAATGTTTTAAATGTGTGTTCAAAATGTCGGGGAGATGTCCGAAGCATGTCTCAAACCTGTTTGAGACGTGTTTATCACATGCTCAACACGTGTTTCAGGCATTGGAAATGATTTGGCAACACGCTTCCTCTCCATTGATCGTCCTCCGCAAATCTACAGTAAAAACCCGAATAAGGACGCGCGGCAAGGACGCAAGACCCTTGGAAGCCGAAGTTGGGATTCTTGGGGCGGCGGACGACGAGAACCCCAAGGGCGCAAGAGCAAAGAAGAGCAAGGACGCAAGGGTACCCTGAGCAACGTCGCGCGTCCTTCTTAGGGCTTTTGACCGTCACACGTGTTTCAGGCATCTGGAAATGATTCGTGACTACCTACCAGACCACCCCAACCCAACCCGAAGGCCCGAATTTCGGGTTGGGGGGGGTATGGGCTCCATATGTGTTTTTTCGATGTTCCCGGACCCCCCCCCACTAGAAATCGAGGGTAAATCTGAGCCTTCGGGTTGGGTTGGGGTGGTTTGGTGGGTGGTGAATTCGGCAGCACGCTCCCTCTCCACTGATCGTCCTCCGCAGATCTACGGCCTCGCGGGACGCCTCGGACGAGAACCCACACGGACGCCCTCCGGCGCTGCGCGGGCGCCCGGGCGTGGAGCGTGTGCCCACATATGGGATCGCGGTGTCCACGAGGATCGGCGCCTCTCGGTGCCTGCAGTCCGCGAGGGCATGGCGGGTCGGGCGAAAGGGGGGGATAGCAACGGGGGGGCTTGAGGATCAGCTCAGGTGGCTGATTTTCCTGGCGCCTCCCGGCGCCGGAAGGCGCACGCGTGTATCGAGGAATGGGCCCGGCGGCGGGTCTGAGACCAGCTGCAATTTCGTAGCGCCCCCCTTCCCTATCCCCCCCTCCTCGTTCGGCCCGAGGCATGGCTGAAGGCCTGCTTGTCGCTCGTGGGTGGGAGTGAGCACGCGGGGGAGCCACGAGGTCGCCCCCCGACGATCGGCTGGGACAGCCGGGCCACGATGGCTTCGCCGCCGAGGACGGTTCTCGCGCACTGCGGGGCGCCGCAGGAGGTCCCCAGGCAGGTGATCGACACATGCCTGGTCTTGGCCCTTGCACTCGACTCCCCCATCGTTCGAATCCACGCCTGGGTGAACAGCAAGATACCGATGCCGCTACTCCCTGGTCCGCTCCCGGGGTGCGCTCGGAGCGGGACTTCTAAGCGAACCCAGCGGTCGCGACGAGGGCACCGCAGGGAGGTCCCCCAAAAGCGAAAACGAGGGAAGGGTGTCGGTACGTTTTCTCCTCTAGGCAAAAGGCTTGCACCTCCGAGACTATCTCGAATGCGTGTTCTGGCGAGGAGAACCGAAGACGCACGCAGCTTGCCTCCGCGCGGTGGAAGGCTCTCAGTGGCCGCGTCGCCTTGGAGCGAGGGTGGTCAGTATGTGTGGGAGGGGATGTCTTTGCCCACCTGACTAATTATATGCTGTGTCGCCGTGCGGGCGGCGGGGGACACCAAAAAGTGTGGGAGGAGGGGAACAAAGAGGAGAAGAGAGGGGGGGCAAACGAGGAAGCATGGGGCGGAGGACAAGATCGAGGGAGCAGGAGCAAAAGTTAGGGGACGAGGGGGGCCAGAGAGGAGAAAGAGGGGAGGATGCGGATGAGGATAGGCAGGGCTAGCAGGCGGAGCGGAAGGAGGAGCCTGGAGGGGGAGGAGCATGACGAGGATACGGGATCCGAGGAAGAATCGGAGGAGGTCGATGCGGTGCAGTGCGGATACGAAAGATGCGGGGTAAGGATGCAAGAGACCCTTCATCGTGGATGTTGAAACGGTCGCGACAGCGTCAGGTCCGCAGTGCTGGCTCAGGGCGGGGCGAGAGGGCGAGCCCCGACAAGGTCCAGGGCATCCTCACTCCTGATCGCGTCTGCAAAGGCTGAAGGCGGGGCCCGGCCACGGAGACGACACGGCCGAGAGGAACCAGAGTCGGGCAGCGGCCGTCCTTGCTGCCGTGCCAGGGCCACACGCCGCCGCGCCAGGCGGCCGACTGCCCGCCGCCGTCCTGATTTGGGGGGGGGGCGCGGGCTGCCGGGGCGGGGGGCGCGCCGAGGGGACGACAGACTGTCTTCAGAGACCCGAATCATCAGGGGTAACTCGGGTCAGGGCTAACTCGGGTTCGTTTTTCGGGAATCCAAGCCCGAGTCACCCCGGGCCCGAGTTACCCCGGATAACTCGGGCGTCCAGAGCCCCGAATCATCAGGGGTAATTCGGGTCAGGGCTGACTCGGGTTCGTTCTTCGGGAATCCAAGCCCGCGTTGCCCCGGGCCCGAGTTACCCCCGGATAACTCGGGCGCCCAACGTCTTCGAGGCGGCCACGCGGACTTCTGAGGTGGCTCGCCGCAGCCGAAGATACGGCCAGGAACTTCTGCTGCTCAGCGCGTGGCGGCGGCCGCCTTGGCGACGGGTGGTTGTGCCCTGCATGCGGACAGCGCGTCGTGCCGCTCCGCGGGTGGGGGAAGCGAAGGAGGCTGGCGCCTGGGGCTGGGGGCCTGGATGGCCTGGTGGGTCCTCCTCCTCCTCCTCCTCCTCCTCCTCCTCCTCCTCCTCCCAGGGAGTAGGTGATGGGTTTGTTTCCCACCACCACCACCATCAGTTGGATGGAGAGGAGGCCAGAGCCGGCGGAGCGACACGTCATGCCAAAATTCACTCCCCTGGGAGGCCTCCGGGGGACCAAGAACGGTCGAACTGTGAGGGTCATCACGCGAGGTTCGCCCCGTCGCCTGTCTCGGGGATCCACTTCCGCCGCCCTCCGCCGAGGATGAGACGTCAACTTTGGCGGGGAAAAGGCACACAACCGTGTGGGCGGCCTCCACAGTTCTCTTCTCAACACGTTCTG